AATTCTTTTTAACAGATTACTTAAACTCTCGTTAGGATTTCTAGGAAAAATCAAATCTGATGTACCGATAAGCATCGCAGCATCCAGTTTTGCATAAGATTTACGTGAGCTCTCTTTGAACACTAGTCTGAGCATTTTAGTTTTTAAGTCGCACGAATGCGATAACGGTGCAGAAAATAATCGTGATTTTGGGAGTACAATCTCAGACGATTCATCCCACAACTGAATCCAGTGATTATTGGAATCTTGAGCCAAAATTTGAATTACGCTTCCAGGACGAATTGTTTCATAAATAAAGACTCTGACTGGATATACAGTTTCATGAAACTCGATATCTTAAAAATAGAAAATATAATTATACTTTCTTCTCAACAAAAGCGTATCTTCTTTAACAATGTCTTATTTATCGATTCGAATATTACATACCAATAAAATTATTTTCGCTCGTCATATGGTCCGCTGTATACCATGGAGTACCATCAATAAACGATCTCATGAAACCTTCGTTTCGCCACGGAGATATTGAAATATCGAAACCATCCTTTCTCGACTATATTAGAAAATCGAAATGTGTCAAATAGAAAATCTTGTAACATAAATTTATAGATAGCGATTACTTTGTACAGGACAATAATAGATAATACGAGGAAATACACATACTTCGACATGTTTTTCTGCAAAAAAACATGATAAATGAAATTTTTCGCTATAAATTGAAATTGTGGGTGGTCCAATTATGTCAGGGGCAGTACGGAATATGCTAAAATTCTGGTTTCTTATCGGTCTGGTAACAAATCTTCTCTTCACAAATTGATAGACAAAGTCAACACCACCCTCTTCTCCTACGGATACTCTGCCGATGTAGGGATATCGACTACAACTTTCGCAATTTAAAGATTTATTGTGGGTTGTCATATTGTCTCTCTGAAAAAAGACAAAAAGTATGGAGAATAATAATCCTTTTTTTTAGCATATGCTAAAATGCATTATATTATTATATTAATTAATAATTATAGCGTTAAGATTATATGTATAATAACAATAAGTTTATCTTGCTTCCATTCGCATTGTTAGTACTTTGTTAGTGACAATGTTACATAGTCTGCATGTGTGTGTTGAATATCATTATTAAATGATTAATTATTTTAAAGAAAATAACAGTTATTTTTTAATTTTGTTAATGTAGAAAAATGTTCTTTTATAAATCTGAAATATCGGGAGCTCTGTGTTCTTCTATTACCACGTGGCACACACGTGCACGAGCACAAAAGAAAGAACATAAAAAATTACACAATTTAGATTGCTCACATTCGCCAGAGTTACGCTTAATTTCTAAATGACTATAAAATTCCATTCTACAATAGTCGTAAGGGTAGATGTAAGACGCGTAAACAGCCCAGGGAGCACATATTATTTTCATATACGTTTTTTGAGCGAATACATATAGTTTCATAAGAACCAGTAAGAAACGTTTGAACACAAATGTTTTTGAAACCATGGTTTAAGAAACATATTTTTTACGTTTCTATAGTTAACAAAAATATCTATTTGTTAAATTTTTTTTCAAAATTATAATTTGCTTTATCTATATTTATAGTAGCTTTAATCGTTTTTTTTTTAACATTTAAATTTATATTGCACTAATAATTATTGCACAAAATAAATCATTTTATCCACGCACATATATCCACTTATTTACTTAAATTAATTTTGTCCTACCGGTCTTAATTTATTTGTCATCAGACAAATCTGAGCTTAGAAAACTTCCAACACTTGCAAAATAAACGTTCTGCTGAACGTGGCCAGGCTATGTAGGACCAATAAAATACCGTTATACCAAGAAACAAAATGAATCCGATCACAATAAAACCGAACGGACGGTCAGGCCGTGCTACCTGAGCGGCGCGTCATGCAGCTACATGTGCGACCCGACGCGGCGCGGCGCCCGGCGCCCGTCCAACGAATGCATTTACTTTCTGGGCTATAACTTTGTAATTTTTTTGGAAATTTCACTTGAAATTTTTACCGGACATTTTTAACATATCAAACATGAAGAAAATGTAAAAATTGATTTTTCGGACTTTGCTAGGTGTATATTCCCCCTTAACTTGTTGCACGCCCTGGTAACCATCTCCGATAGATAACGATTAAAAATGGTTATATCTGTATCGTTTTTAATCGTATCTTATCGGTTCTATCGTTGCATATTTAGAAGACAGATAAAACATTAATCGTATCGAATCGGTTTCTATCGTTTTAGATTCGAATAAGAAAATAGCTATACAAATTTTATAGTTATGAATCGTTTTCTATATGTACAATTATTGCCCGTCTGAATCAATCGTACATACACATAATATATATCGTTATTTATGGTAATAATTTTATTGTATGTATAATACGGATATATAAGAATAAAATGATAGAAAACTCATCGATATTTATATGACTTAACCGAACCGATACATCTATCGTTTCTTATCAGGATTTTCTGACATACAACTTATCACCTTCTTTACGGCAGCAAATCGGTTCGTTTTCTATCGTATATCAATGATATAAATTGAATTGTTTGAAAGCCTTCTACTTTGCATATGTTTTTATAAGGTTAAAACGATAGACATTTTGTCGATATTTATACGACTTAACCGAACCGACACATCTATCGTTTCTTATCAGGATTTTCCGACGGACAACTTATCATCTTCTGTACGGCAGCTAATTGGTTCGTTATCTATCGTATATCAACGATATTAACCGAATCGTTTAGAAGACGGAAAAAATGTCTATGAAAATCATATTTCGTGAATACCCAGACAGCACCATGTCCAAAATCTGGACATAAGACGTCTTTTAGATGCCTTTTCGATTTTCATACATCTAATAATTTAGATTTATAAAAAACTATGAATAACTACAATTTTTTATACTTTTTCACAGAAAGCTATAAATTTTTATAAAAAATTAAGTTGAATATACCAATTTCTACACGTGCTACTTTTACGCCAAAAGAACTGAATTAATTTTGATACTTTTTTTATAGAAAATTATAAAAAATAATTTTAATCATATGTTAGATAAACCTTTCATGGAATTTTAAATAATAAATTAAACGCCAGTCTGTAATTAATCTTAATTTATTAGAAATATATTTTATATAAGTGTACAAATATGAAGAATTATGAACAGATACATTTTATTCTTTAACTGATATTTAAAGTAATATTAATATATAATTATAGCTTTTCACAAAATAATGAAGCTTTTCACAAAGTTTCATCGAAATCGGAGGGGAGCCGTTTTCGGAACTTTATCCTTATAATGTTTCAAAATGGTTCGGCATTGTACAAAGAAATTTGTCACATTCCAATTCGACGACCACAGACCACAAGTTTACGTTTTACCAGCTGAATCGGAATTATTTTTTCATCTTGTGCTTTGCTAGTAACTTGTAACATATATATGATTTATTCTTAATTGATTATAGACCGCAGGCATGGTTGTCAGAACTTTAAAAACGACAAAGCAACATTTATTTACAATAATAAAACTTAATATTTCGATAATTGTACCATCGTCTAATTATACTACAGAATCGTTAGTTTTAATAGTTTTACTAGCTGTACTCTGCAGTGTGGAACACAATTCCGCTAAATATGCACCTTTCATGTACATGTACCTTTTCATTATTCGTTAAATTGTTATAATAGTTACTATGACATTCTAACAAGCTATAATATTTATCCGCATTTTGTACTAATTTTGGAGCACCTGAAAATGTTGCACCATTCTCCGTCGTTACATCATTATTATTAACCCTATTTCTTTCAACCATGCCCTTTCGTGTCTTACGAGTTTATCAAAATTTCGGTGGGACACGAAAGTGCATGGTTGGAAAATTACGTCAGTGTTGTGTGAAAGCTATTAACATTTTGAAAAACGCGTGGGACTCGAAAGTGCATGGTTGGAAGACTAATGTGCCAGAAAAAACGTTGGAGGAAATAGAGTTAATAAAATATTTATTTCTAGAAATAATTGATTTACAAAATACAGAGCATTTTTCAGAGATCTTCAAATTATTAATGTAGTTTTCATACGCAGCACGTTTCAAATATCTGTTAACCATATACCTTATAACCATCTGCTCGTCTACACTCTTAGGGCTACTAACTTCTTGCTTCAATATGTATACGTTACTTTCGTAAGGAAAAGTCGAAGTCGCTCAAAGAGGCCCGGATTGCAATACTGAATGGCATAAATGCAGTGCGCTATGAATATTAAATGTCATCGCAGACTTACCATAATAAATTTGGCACTCTCCAGCAAACTTAAATAAATCAATTTCACATGCTTTAAAATCATTTTCAGAAATTGTTGGTTGCAAAAGAATATGTATACTACGGACAAAAAGTAAAAAAAACTCGAGTAGCTCAGGTTTTAAAATACCCTTTAAGCAAGGAATACTATAAAATAAGAGCCAAGACCGCCATTCTGCAGCCTTCCATTGATGTCGGTCATTTAAGGAGGCTCTTACCCGGCTGCTCTAATCAATGTAGCAACCGAAAAATTATCATTAATAATTGGTTATAAAATTATCGGAAAATTAAATAAAAAAATAAATGATGATTTTTACATAGTGTAAGAGTAAGTTATATGTTCTATTAGTGTAAATATTAAAATTTATACAATAAGTCAGTTGACTACGTCAGTGCTAAAGAGCAGAATAATAACATGCGCGTGTTACAACGTCGTCTGTAGCAGTCTGCAGCTAAAGTGAGGTGTAGCCGTGTAGCATTGTAGCGATTGATGCGATAAAGAGATGGAGCCAAAAGAAAGATATAACGTGAGAATGTTGAGAGGGAAAATGAAAGGAAAATTCTCGAAAATAAAGGTTGCAATATGTCAATGCGCGAGAGAATAATTATGCCGCTACCATACAGCGCAGAGAAAAGACATGTGCAAGTGAGGTTAGAAACTTCGCGCGATTTTGACACTCGGAAGATCATTCGCCTAACCTGTCGTACGTCATATTAAAACTACAATATCTTTTATAACTCATCGTCAACACCAAGTTTTTTTCTTATCATTAGAAAGATTATTATTTTAACTACAATTCCTTAGTTTTTTGTTTACCTGGCTCGCAAACTTGCCAAGAAAATACATCACTTCCGATAAAAATTTTAGTGTTTACCATATGCCCTGTGTTAAAAATGCGAATTTCAATACTGATATTTTTTAAATTTTTATCGTCAACCTATGCTAAAGTTTTGGGCATCGGTTCGTTGTGGTTCACTTTACAACATAATTTAATTTCATAAAGATCTGTCGTTTTATGATCGAGGTAAGAGCCTCCTTAAAGATCGAGGGGAACGATATATTGATTGCGGTGGCTTAATATTTAATAACCGCTCATTTATTTCTTTTCTATTCGAGGGTTTTAGGTAGTATGACGTACCTGGGAATAATCCACAGTTCCCATATTTGACGTGTTACGCCTAAAATCATGCCGTACATGTAGTCTATCAAAAAGCCCCATATGCAATCAAAATACGGCAAATTGGCCATAATCGTCGTTCCTTTTACACCTTCGATTGCCATTCACGCGGCCATCAAAGATAGCTCTGCGGCGAGCACGGTGGCGCAAACGATTCGGGAGAGTTTTTTGGCGTTCTGGCCGGGTTCCGTGGGGTGCGCACCCTTGATCCCCAGCATCGCCAAGCACGCACTTTGCGCCGGCAAACCAGTACTACCGCCCACTGTGCCGACTTCTAGGCTGGGCATCGTGCAGGTAATGTGCAGATCCTTGTTGTCCACACCACCCGGTTCCATCACCGTTATACAGTTACTGCTGCTAACGTTCTGTGCTGGATCTTGTCCAGTTGCGATGAAAATTGCAGTCACGATATTTGCGGCGTGCGCATTGAAGTCGCCCATGCTGCCTGCCAAGGCTGAACCTATCAAGTTTTTCTTGATATTGAGCCTGACGAGTTTGCGCACCGAGGTCTTCAGCACGCGCGACACGACGTCCGCAGGTACGATTGCCTCGCTCACCACGGTTTTACCCCTACCCTCAATCCAGTTGACAGCTGCGGGCTTTTTATCGGTGCAGAAATTCCCACTGAGGGAGAGTATCTCCATGTCCGGAAAATAGGTCTGTAACGTCTGCAGAGACCTCTCCGTCCCCTTGGACATCATATTCATCCCCATAGCGTCACCGGTCGGGCCAACAAAGCGTAGATGCAGGTCCCGGCCGGCTACTTTCTGGTCGATCTTCGTCAGTCGAGCAAATCTGCTGGTTTCCTCAAAGCTGTCCTTTAGTTTCTGAAAGTTTTCCGGCTGTTTTATCCACGACATCGCTTCGTACATGCGCTCAATGTTCGGGAATTGCACTACAGGTGCTCGAGTCATCTCATCTTTAATTACGCGAGTTTTCACGCCGCACTTCAAGAGCGCGCGGCTGCCGCGATTTGTAGAGGCCACCAAGCAGCCCTCCGTCGTTGCCATCGGCACGTAGTACTTCTGGTCGTCGATCAGCAACGGCCCGACGCTACCAACCGGTACCGGGACGTACCCGATGACATTTTCGCAGCAGGCGCCAAACACCTTGCTGTAATCGTAGTGTCGGTATGGTAAGTCGGTCATTTCCTCGGTGACTTTTCCGGCGTCACCCACGACGAGACGCCTGATGTCAACACCGCGCTCAAAGTCTCCTACCGCTTTTTCCAACTGGTACGCAGCTATGTCCTTGCGTTTCACCAGTTGTATCACCTCCTCGTTCGTCAAGGCACTGGCTCCAAGCTTATATACACATACAAGAATATATATAATTATATTATACATATACTAATACATTACATATTATTATCTTATTATCTATTATTATCATTATACATTATTTTCTTACCTCTGACTTATATATCTCGAGACAGTCTTCCACGCTCCGGGGAGCTTCGGACTTTTTCGGTGAGTCATTTTCGGAATTGCTCGCACCATGGTATATCGCGTCGGTCTGTACCTCCTTGTCAACGCACTCTACATCGTTCTCATTACCCCAGCCACCACCCACGCCGGACAGAGTCATCGTGGTACCCATATCGTCCAGATTAGTTGAACCATCGAGTAGCTTCACTTTCTTTTCCACTGTCGTCTCCTCCGCCTCGTCCTCCTCTTCCTCCTCCTCTTTGCATCTCAGCTGTCTGTCGACCACATCGCTTCTATCCTCGAAAAAGATGAACTTTATCACCAGTGCTAACACCAGTATCAATATCACAATGTTGTCCGTGCTGGCTGATAGCCAAGTCAGGTGTTCCTTCAATTCGGAACTCTCGTGATCGGAACCGTTTACCGCGTCCGAGCTCGTGGATGTCGCTGCCCTTCTCGTCGTGTACTCGGCTTCTTCGCTCTTAAAGGGCCAGCGGCTGTAATATGGAACAGGCAATTAACATAAATCTAAATTATAAATAAATTAAAACAATCTAGATAATTATATAAAGCAGAGAGTAGATATTTTATTACTATAAAATAAAACTCTTCCAATGCAATATGGAAATTATAGATGTAAATGCACAATCCTAACAAGATGACAATTGAGACCGCAAATCGTAATTGTGTGAAAATATTTAAGATAAAAAAAATTATTAGAATGTTTACGTAAAAACTTCCTCAATGTATACACCGCAATATAATGATAGTTATGTTAATGGACAAATGAGAGAAAGTCGTTTTGAACAAAATACGAAGACCACGAAGCGAACGCAACAACAGTTTTTCGCAAACTAAAACGTATTATAATTCAGAATGATAACCGGTAGCACAACGGAGAGAGAATATTCGAAGTATTCTGTACCACCACCACCACCCTATAATGTCATTTATTTTTGGACTCTCATTTTACTTTGTATGGACGACAGTCCTTTTGTACACGCGTTATTATTAACGTTCTCATGCAATATTAAAATACGCTTTGCCATTCACACGGATCTGGTACAAAAACGTAGCACTCTCGATACTTTATATATTGAAAAATATTTACGTATTGTATAACTACGATTGCATAAAGATGAAATTGTATAACGACATACGTCATGTTGAATTAATACATTTGTTATTTCAACAGTATCAATAAAAAATATTGTAATTGTTAAAATATGACTTTTCAGATTTATTTGTTTTTTGTCAAAAGCGTAAAACCGTGAAAATCCAAGGTTACATCCAAACTAATATATGAGATTTACTTATTTAATTTTTATAATGGCAGTTCGATTAAAAAAAACCGTCACAATTTTTTTCTAAAAATATATTTAGAATTCTATAAAATAGAGTCCATTCGATTTCGCCTCTTATCTTTGTAAATATCCACTCGAGAATATCCGAGACGAGAATGATAAAATTATATATATGAATGACTTTTTCTCCCATTGCGAGATTATTTTGTTCGTACTGCGATAGCCGACAACTCTTTGAAAACGTCCAAACTTCTTGCTCGATAAGATCTTGTTTCCTGTGGAAAGCTTCATTGAATATGGATTCTTCATTGAATAGAAGTCTATATCCAAATGCTAATGTTTACAGATGAACCTGACCTGACGTCAAAATTAGGCGTTACAAACTGTTTGACAAAGACGGCGTAAACATAAAAAAAGTAATGGGGGTCAGATACAATAGCTCTTCGGCCACGATTTCCTGCTCCGCCGCGTGTGTACCATATACATTATCGTACATATAGCCGCTTTATATTCTAAAGTTTGCATCAAGGAAAAGGAGAAGGAAAAGATCCCTTCTTTTTGTTATATCACCACAAGAAACAATAAAAATGTATACCTGTTGGCATGTACTACAAATAGGCCGGCGATCATGATCATTTTGACTCGCTCCACCACAGGATTCGGTTTTATATCCTCCTCGTTTAACTGCATTATAAATTTGTCTGCGCTCAGTTGGCCCATATTATTACTCCCGCGAGAAAGCTGTAATACAATAGCGTCCTTTACACAAATACAAATTTAATGTGTATATAATTTTTATCGCATATTGGACAATTTAATTCTTCGTCTTTTTGGCGATTTTCTAAATTTGGAATCTCGGGGCCTTGAAACATTTCTAAAATCTTGCCAAATTCGACGCTTACATTATTCTCAAGTAAAAAAAGAACTTATATAGTATTTGTATAATGATGTACGTTAAATATACTTGATAGCATCGGATTTCTCTAACAATAATGGACCTAATCTTTTAAATCTGTGCTTTTCAACTTTGCTACGTTACGCTTTCTGCGTTTAAAACGGAATACTCGCTTTGGAGGAAAGTTGTAAAAGTACGGGGAAAGGAGTCGTTTCAATGAGAACATTAAATTGAGCTATACCTCGAGTATGAGCGACAAGCAGGCCGGATAGAACGTCATGAAGACGATGTAGTTGACGATCACCTCGAGGTATGCAAAGGTGCAGAGGATCTCCAGCCTCCTGATGCCCGATAAGGATCCTATGCCGATCAGAAGGGTCTCCACGAGGGTATCCAGAATGATGGCCGGTCCCAGCAGAGACATGCCGCGCGCGATGTTTGCTTTGACTTCTTCTTGATTCCCCGAACTTAGAGCGTACTGCGCTAATGTCGCGGCCTTTGATAGGTCGATAAGAAGCAAAAAGAAAAATAAAGCGTCCCTAGAAAAGTAATAACGTTTCATTGTAATATCGCGTGGATAGAGGAGTCATTATAGTCTCCTCGTATATAAAGCGACGGTAACCGCAACTGCTTACTTCAAGTCTGCGACATCGCTGCGGCCGAAATTCACCACACTGGACGTGATTACCACGCTAGAGTACACGGTAAACAGGCCGGCGATACCTGAAACGCATACGACAAATCTGTTGAGTATGTGATAATCGAAATTAAGTGTGTTAAATTGCGATGAAACCGACATGATTTCGATGCGAAGGACGTGTAAAGAAAAGACAAGTCGCTCTCGTCGTGTTTCGTTCGTTCACGAGTGAACGGAAGGATTTTTATGTGCAGGGTACCTGTCCGTACATGGGAATATAACTTAGTATTTTATCCCTTTAACGATCTCTCGAATCGTAAACCATAACTTATATAAACCATTAACTTATAAGATATTTTTGACAATAATAATAAGTGAAATGGGATCGATATGATATTCAATCAAATAGAGAAAACGCCGAAATATTTTTTAATTATGTTAAAGGTTTTTCAAGATGTCTAAATTAAAAAAATGTTTCAGACTTATTTTAAACCCATTTTTTACACTAAAAAATAATCCCTTTTTGCAACTGCAAATTCAAAAAATTGTGGATAGAGCAATTTGATAAACGGAATCGTATTCAGCGTTCAGAAGACTACGGAACTCTCTAAAAGAGAATCAGTGTATTTTTACTGAGAAACAGTAAATAGTCACTGATTGAAGCAGTTATAAGTATACCACTTAGAATCAGTGACGTTTCACTGAAAGAATTAGTTATTAATATCTGTTTCAATCAGTAATATTGGACTACTAGAAACAGTGACTTAAAACAGCAAAATCAGTAATGTGAGCTGATTAAATCAGTAATATTGACTATTTCAATCAGTAATATTATACTACTAAAACAGTGACTTTGAGCAGCAAAATCAGTAATGTGAACAGCAAAATCAGTAATGCAAGCTGATTAAATCAGTAAATGTCCCAGCAAACAGTAACAAAAAGTAATAACCTTAATACATGTTATAATTTTTTATTCAACAATGTAATTGTTACGTACAAAATGTTTACAGAATGAAGTCAATTAAAAATTAAACATTCCTCAGCTTACGAGCTTGTGCCTCTATGTTTGTTCCTTCCTAAAAAAAGATTTTTCTGTGTGTTAGCAAGTATTAATATATAACTTTTAAATGCACTAACCAAACTTACAGGCCATATCTGTATTAACGAAGAATTTGAAAAAATAGGAGGATCATCATGTTGTCCCTTATCAATGTTCTTCTGAAATTAAATATCCAAATATTTAAATCGTGTTTTAACAATCAATTTATACTAAGAAATTATAAGAATAAGAAATAAAAAACTTACTCCTTTTGATAAGTTTCCAACGATAACCGAGATTAATAATCTTATTCTGTTTGCTGTTCAGTTCTCTCGTTCAATACGCCGTGGTTTATGCTGAAAATGAAAAGGGAGAAACAGTCTCTAGTTTATCGTGCTTTACTATGGGCCCGTTGGGCCTCCATCTTTGCTCCGTTGGCAAACTATAACCTCGCCCCGTTGGGCCACCGTACTCGTCAGTACCCGCGGTAAATGAACTACAGCTCAAGAAGCTTTCGTACTTACTTTTAACCTCACCTTTTTCGCAAGCACGCTTAGCTCAGTACCGCAGTTTCTCTCATTCTTCGTAATGTACACTTAGCACCGCTTCGTTCTTCGTCACGTATACTTCGTTCTCGTCTTCTGTTTCACACATCACTGAGATCACAATCCTGTTCCGCTTCCTCGCACCATCAATCAGTATTACCAACAGATAACTGATTTTACAGTAACATCTTACTTTCACTGACCATAATCAGTGAAATATAAGATAAAGAAACAAAAAGTAAACATTCTACTGAAGTTCAGTGAAATACTCACTGATTCTCAGTGAAATCTTATTTTACTGTTTCAATTAGTGATATTTTCACTGATTTTACTTTAGAGAGAAAACGATTATTCTCGTTCTTGTGCTCGAAAAAAAAGGAATTTTTTGTTGAACAGTGTAATCTACAAACAGCTTGTACAAATTAAAAATTTTAATTTAATTCTCATACATACGTTTGTCAAGCAACGTAATAATAAACTGTATGAATGTATAAACAACAACTTTTTGCGATAAAACTTTAATGTCAGCCGTTACTGGATAATTAGAATTAATAATGAGAAATTTATTATGCAAATACGTAATCGTCTAAAAACTTATGCAAAACTTAATACATTTTATATGCAGTTTCAATATAAATCATTATTCTATAATGAATTATGTAGGTAATACATAAACAATGAAAGTTATTTTAAGCGTTATTAATTTTCTTACCTAAAATGTATTTGGATCCCATTTTTTGCAAATTGCGGAACTGATGATAAGTAAATAGCACCGCCAGGCAACATATTATTGTCATTACTATAATGTCAGCCGTTTTTAGATCCTATCGAACAATATGCATACGTTAGGAATTTTTTCTATCAGAGTAGACAAAAAAGTATGAATTAAAAGAAACAGTAGCGCACAAAAAAATTTTGTTTGATCTTGCAGTCAAAATTATGTCATAAGATATATAAATAATATATACAAGGGTCTCGGTAGTAATTTTTCTTGTCATTATGTCATAAAAATTTCTAGCAACACAAATGGATTTCAATGCAACTCACTTCTTCTACAATAAGAAATTGAATATTTCAATATAATCGCTGCCCTTTGACTACTATACATATTCGAAATACGTTTGAATTGTTCGTGTGACACACTTATGTAACTGATCACAACGCCTTTCAACATAATGCCACTAGAGACTATACAAGTAACAACTCAGTGAAATGTAAAAACTTTCTATGGCGCTAGATTCGAAAGAAAAAAATTAGGAGGCATTATACTTTCGTAATGCGACCCTCGTAAACAAATATCTTTCAATAATTCGATCTAATACAACATATTCATATACCTATACAAAACATCGTAAAAATCATGACTTTATGTGACAGAAGTTGACGTCCTTAAGAAAATGATCGAAGCGTGGAATTTCACACGACGATCTCTGCTCACCATGGTATTGCATTTGTTGTGACGGCAGTACGTAGCACCGGGCAAGTCCTCCCCGCGTGCCCCTTCCTGTCCACTTCTGGTCTCCTTGTTAAGCATACACGCCGTCAAAGTAAGGATCGTCACGATCACCTCCAAGAGATGACCGGCGCAAAACCGGCTGTGTTTTTCGAATACGTGAGCCAGCATCTTTGATGGTTCTCGTGAAAAAAAAGTTCTTCCAAAATCTGCAACATATTGATTGCGTGTTTCAAGTCTTAATAACTTATCGAGGGAAATGGAGAAAAGACGGGCGATTTAAAGATTCATCGCGCGCTTCTTTGGTCAATCCTGAGTAGCGATCACGTAACTTTTATCGTAGGGCGGAAACATGAAAAGTAAAAAGTTTCATGTTTCATGTAACTATCTCATTCTATTGGTGTTGAATAGAAGAAGATATATAGTCATATAAAATTTTTCACTTTTCACGTTTTCGCTTGTTAGAAGTGTACGTTGGCTGAAAAGATGATCTTTGTTTAAAGAAGGAAACGACACATTACTCGGTATTCGAATGGAGAGAGAGATGGTGTATTTTCAAATCTTATGTTCGCAAATGTAATATTCCATTCAAACACAAACATATATGTACACAATAATATTTTTATAAAATGTTCAATGTATAAATGGACAACAGATAAACATAGAGGAAAGTCCCCTATTATGAGATAGGCTCCTAATATGCGATAGCGAGGTTTCTGCTAAACTAATAGGTCCTATCTGTTTTGGTTCCACCATGAACTTATTGCCCTTGGGGTAAAACATATTTAGTGGAAAATTCATTGTTTGATCGTGGCGTGTAGTCGTTGCAAAGAAAAAAATTCTGAAATTGGATGTTGTCAAGTGCCATGGATATGAGTCTTTAAACCTTGTTTATTATATAATTAATAAATATTTGGCAATAAGTTCTGCATGCAGTGATAGAGTGAGGTCGTATTAATAGGAAAATACGGGATATGTTGAGTTGCTTAATTGTAGAGATTAGATTTGGTGATCGTGAAACCGCAAGGCGTGGAGCTCGTAACATGAGATACTCAGGGTACTCCCGGGTTGCTGGAGTATGAAAGTTATTGTATAGTAATAAAAAAAAAAAAAAAATACTATATTAACGTTAAGGGAAGATTTATACGAATTTATAAGACTGTGCTGACCTTGATTTGAGAGGGAAGAGTGGAGGGGGAAGATTAGGTACAATATTGAGTATAAGTGGGTTTACGATTGTTGCAAATATGCTTCTGCATCACATGTGTATTTGAGAAACATTAAATAAAGGTTTTTAATAGTAATACTGATGTATTTTGCACTTTATTAGCGATTTCCCGGGGTCTCTCATATTAGGAGCACACTTTTTCGATTTTGCCGAAAGCTCATTTTTCACATTTTTCTAATTTCCAGCAAAATTAATATTTAAATTAAATTTTACATTTCAGCATCTTAAAGCTTATTAAATTCCCTTCAAAATGACCTACTATATTTTTCAATTCTACCCATAGACTTCCGGCAATCACACAAAATAGATATGGTATCTCATAATCGGGTACTTTCCTCTATTAGTTGTTGAATAATCCTTTATTTGTTTTGTATCCTTGTGTCAATATGCCTTTAGGATAATTAGATTATCTGTTTCAGTCTTTTTTTTTTTTTTAGGATAATGGTTCCCTTCTAAAGGTGCTTTTTCATGGGCGTCAGTTGACGCTCGAAATCAATTAGATTAGTATAATGACGCCGATATTCTGACGCGCAATGAAAAAGGTTTTCATGCGTCAATTTTTGGAACTCGCGTCGAGATGCCAGTTGACGCTAAAAGTTGGGAAATCTGAACTTCTCAGCGTCGACGCAGAAACAACATGACGTCATAAAATCGTCTTGACGCGCGACAACTGACGCCCATGAATCGCACCTTAAGGATACATGGCGTTTTACAGGGACGTACCCAACCCTTTACATATACCCGTAAAATTTTAATCGAAAAAAAAATTACACAATTTAGATTGCAATCACATTCGCCAGACTTACGCTTAATTTCTAAATGACTATAAAGTTCCATTCTACAATAGTCGTATAGATAAGAGTAGAAGACGCGTATATAAGCAGAGTAAGCTATTGACCATAAGATTTTTAGAATCCAAGAATAATCGATTGTAGTTGGTCAACTTTTACTGCTTACGTCTTACCGCATACCCTTATACGCAGTTATTGTAGAATGAGTTTAAGATTTTCCGAATTGTATTTTTTATTTTACTCAATGTATCTCTTATCTCATTTTCCGATACACGTTATAACATGTTCCACCACGTGGTAGTGTGTATCATACCGATCATACGGTAGAAGAACATACGGCATACACACGTTCACGTGCACCAAAGAAAAAATATTGCAAAATTTAAATTGCTTACGTTCGCTACACTTACGCTTACGCTTTTATGGACCGATTTCACCGTCTCCGATTAACATGATCCTCCGATTAAACTCACTCTTCGGCTCTATCTAATAAGGGGGACAGAAAGAGATGAAGGGTAAGTTTAATCGGAGGATCATGTTAATCGGAGACTGTGAAATCGGCTCTAAATGACTAAAATTTATCAAAATGTATTTTTTAATTTATTTAATGTATCTTTTATCTCATTGTTTGATCTAATAGGTTATAGCGATCTAACAATAAGTTACACAAAAGATCACACAGTGAATAAAAGAATTAATTATCTACCGGAAATTTAACTCGGAACTGAATCAAAAAATTAATCAGAAAACCTAATTTCTATCGATTTTCATACTACTTACTGTTTATCGGCAAGGCAATTTTGATTTTTTCCGTATAAAATGAAAAAATCATGAAAGAGAAGAAAAATGTTGGAACACGTGGTGAGCACATACTATTGCATACTACTTCTGTGTAGGTCCACACAGTGCTGTTATTTCGTGGACGCTGGGAGCTGGGACCCCCCCATCATCTGACACGGACGTGCGCACACAGCAGCAAACAGCCGCGTGGCGCGTAAAGGTCTATCCAGCAAACTTGCATAGGTGCATAACCATATGCATAAAGAAACTGATTGGTCTATATCCTTATGCACATGCATATGGACCAATCAATTCTCTTATGCTTATGTTTATGGGCTTATGCAAGTTTGTGTGGATATAGCTTTAGTGTGCGACCAGTGCGGAGCGGCTGTGTGCTCGGTGTTCGGCCAGCTTCGAGCGGCCGAAAAGCGCAGACATCTGCAGTCTCCTTCTTGCTCGAGCTAGCGTCGCCAGCCATGAGAATCGTAAAATCGTATCGTACTCGGCTCGCGCGTCTTCCTCGCGTCTTCGCGTGTTCCTTTCCGCACTGGACGTGAGACATTATCGTGTCTCTTGATTATGTCACAATTAAAACGTAAAAATTATTAATTAAATAAATCTTTTAGTTATATTAAAATTTATCCTGTACATAAAAGATATAAATTAAATACATTTATAATATTTACATTTATTTAAATACATTTGAACAAATGATTTTCTTCAAATATAATAAAAGCCGGTAAATTTCATTGCAATCTCTGCTGTAATAAACTTTTTTAATATATTCATTAAAGACTTATTGTTAGTATAACAACTTTATCTTTATCTGTACATAGTCTGAGCATTTTCGAATATTGTTATTCTGAAAACAATATTTGAAAATATAATTGGTTGTACTTATTAAGCTACACGTGTAATGGTTTCATAAATAATTACAAATAAACATATATATTATGTTTGAAAATTAGTAAATATTATTTTTTGTATTTTGCTCATCATATCTTCTAAAATTTCTACCTTTTTTCAAAATGTCAGGTTAATGAAAACAATAATCGGTTAGCAAATAAATACTATACAAATCATGGCACTCAGATCTAATTGGTGGATAATTATCATCATTCATCATTATATACTGATATATTTTTACCTAATTTTAAAAAATTATGTAGTACATATAATAAGTGAATATTACCTGTAGTCCTTATTTTTTGATTAATTTTAAAATCTTTAAGATAAATTTAAATTAAGTCATTAAAATGACTTTAATTAGAATTAATTACATTTATTCATTTAATCAGTTCTTTTGTACTTATTAATTATTTTGTACTTATCCTGGGCACACCAAGTATTTTCTTCACTATAATCCAGTTGATCTTTAATCATCTTTAGTCCTATAATAATTTTTTTGCGTTTTTAAATTTGCATAAAATAATAGTAGATGCGTTAAACTTTTGATGCTTATACTTTTGGATATATTAAAATATTTCTGCATATATCTTTGGATGTATAAAACTTTCTTTTACATACACTTTTCGATACATTAAGTTTTTGCTGAAACTTTTAGATGAATTGTATAATTCTTTTACTTAAGTACACTGAAGTTCTACCCATTTTTTAGCAGTATATTTTTAAAGTAAGTTTTTTACAGCTTAATAGCTTTTTGAGGTTTTTTTAGTGTTAAAATACTTAGTTATAATTGTATTAATTTCATATCTACAATATTTTAGGACAATTTATCTTTGAATAATTCAATTCTTTTAAACATATCTATTACATACTGCTAGATATTTTTTTAATAGATTTTTTACATATTTGTTTTATGTACTTGGCATGTCTTCTTTTCACCTTTGTAAGGTTTCTTGTTTTACTGGATTATGAGTTGGCGTTTTTTATATTAAATCTTTTTCGCCTTTGTAAAGTTCTTTTTTTGTAGGATAATAAAATAGGTTTTTGCACAGAAAATAATTAGAGATACAAAGGCCAGTAGGGTAAAGTGCCTATTTCGGATCAAATCCTAATTCGTATCAAAAAAGAGTGACCGCAAAAATAGCCTCTTCTTTCACCCTTGAATGTAGACTTCTACTTGGTACTAAATGATAGTCTATAATGAGTCATGAATCCTCAGAAATTTTCAGATTGAAGCCGGCTTTTTATTTTCAAGATATAGAGGGTCAAAGTTGTTAATTTCACCAACTTGCAACATATAGGTATTCGCTGTTTTGAAACGTTGAAATGGAAACTTACATAATAATAAGTTCAAAAAACGTATTCGTTCGATGTTATGTAATTATTTACAGGTATACGCAAATATACGTTAGTATAAATGTTCCGAATGAGTGCACAAATTAATGTAACCGTAGGTATATCTTTTTCACATTTATACCAACGTATATTCGCGTATACCTGTAAATAATCACATAACAGCAAA